AATCTCCTTTAAAAAGTATAATTAGCCTACAAATGTCTTTGAAATCTATAATATCCCCCAAATCTCCTTTGGAAAACTATAATTAGCCACAAAAATTCTTTTAAAAACCTATAATTAACCAACAAACCTTTTACAAACCTATAATTTGAGCCTAAATCTATTTTAGAAATCACTAATTAGCCAACAAAACTCTTTTAGTGACCTATAATTAATGCCTCAATCGATTTTAGGAACCTCAAATTAACCCACAAAACTCTTTTAGAAACCTATAATTATGTCACCTCTATCTTGGCTGGTCGTTCGAATGTCTAATTCCTGTAGCTGATTGAGGAGACAATCGCTTCAATCCAAACCCTACCTTATCCCACGTTGTGTTTAGTTTTGATCATAAGGCTGACAAATATCGAATAGTCGTCGGGAATTGTCATATTGGGTTGCTCAAGGCAGAATGAAGACGTAAGTGAGAAAAAAATAACTCAAATTAAATGCTTTTATATATGTTCGTTTGTACAGTGATTGGTTAGTCTTGACGTTGGGATTTATCAATTTCTTATGCAGAAAATTATTGACTCAATCCGCTTCTTAAGTTGAATGTGACATTTTGGCTGGTTTGGTTAATTTTGGCACAAGGCTTATGACAGAGTTTCTCTTCAGGCAAGCAGTCACATGATATCAGGCAATGCAGTCGTCTCTTGTCTCAGTGTCTGTAACAACTGCTATCTCTCAACTGCTTCGATTCCATGCATCTTTTGACATTCAACTAAAATGGTTAGGAGATTTGGTGTTTCTCCTATCTTCCAGCAAGAGCCCTTTTATTGTCTAGCTCTGGGAAATTAATTACTTTCCAATTTGGGGAGACCCCCTTTTCCTACAGGTAGCGGTCACAGATGTTGATGCACCTCAATAACTTCCTCCTTCTCTTATTGACATCTCACACCAACACTTCCCAATGGGTGTGAGCAATTCCTCCACCTTATTCAATATTTCACCTGTGCCTGCCACCTTAGCTACACCTCGGCCAATCTAGCTTCCGACTGTTTGGAGTGGCTTAACTTATGGTCATTAATTAAAAATTATCATTTCAAATTTCGCTTACGCAAAATTTTCTCATCCTGGTTCTGTCTGAAATCAAGCATTTACTAGATGTTTGTATCTCAGGCACCTATCCGGTAATAGATCAAAATCTTATCCGTCCTCTTTCCTTTCTGTTTTCGCAATTGATGCTCTCTCAAGCTGACTCATTAATTAGCTTTATCATTTAATCAGCTTAAGGATCGCCACATGGCTTCTTGTGGAGATATCACTTTTCATTAAGTAACTTTTCTGGTTCTAGAGAATTAAGCTTTCCTTTTGGAAAAAAAGAAAAATTCTCCCATCTTTCAATCGATCTGTCAATCATTCTAATCTTTAACCCTTCTTGCCTCATTCCAAGTTATGTTTTTGGATTTAAGTCCTTTCTTTCCATTTACCAGTGCCAATTAGTATCACAATTAGCCCACAAATCTCTTTTAGAAACCTCTAATTAGCCCCCAAACTCTTTTAGAAACCCATAATTAACCCCCAAATCTCTTTAAAAAAACATAATTAACCCCAAAATCTATTTTTGAAACCACTAATTATAACAGAAAAGTCTTTTAGAAACCTATAATATACCACAAAAAATCTTTTAGAAACGTCTAATTAGCCCACAAAACTCTTTTAGAAACCTATAAGACACACTCTTTTAGAAACTTAATTGTCACTCAAGACATTTAGAAACCTATAATTAACCACAAAACTATTTTAGAAAACTTTAATTAGCCACACAAACTCTTAGCAATCTATGATTAGCTCACAATACTCTTTTAGAAACCTATAATTAACCCACAAATCTCTTTTAGAAACTTATAAATAGCCCCACAATTTATTTTAGAAACCTATAATTTCCAACCAAAACTTTTTAGAATCCTATAACACACTACAAAAACTTTAGAAGCCTATAAATATCCTGCAAATCTATTTTAGAAACCTATAATTAGCTCAGAAAACACTTTTAGAAACCTAAAATTGTAGCCTTCTTCTCAGCCAGTTCATCTGATGTCCAATCCCTGTGGCTGATCGATGAGCTGACTGCTTCGACCTAAGCCTTGCCTTATCCTACATTGTGTTTGACTTTGATCAAATTTTGGCAAAGATCAAATCATCAATGGAAATTGTCATATTGGGTTGGCAGAGTGAAGTCACAAGTAAAAAAAATAACTTGAATTAAAATAAATGCTTTTATATGCATTCTTTTGTACAGTGCTTGGTTAGTCTTGACGTTAGAATTTATCAATTCTTCATGCAGAAAATTATCGACCCAACCCACTTTGTAAGTTTAATACAACACTTTGGTTGGTTTGGTTAAGTCTGACACAAGGTTTCTGGCACAAGGCTTATGTTGGAGGTTCTCTTCAGGCAATCACATGATATCAGGCAACACAGTTGTCTCTCATCTGAACAACTCTATCAATCCATTTTGATTTCTTGCATTTATTGACATTTATCCAAAACCAGCATGGAGCATGATGCTATTAGGGGATTTGGTTGTTTCCCCTATCTTTCAAGAGCCCTTTTGTTGTCTGGCTCTGGAAAATTAATTACATCTCCAAGATTGGGGAGATTCTCTTTTCCTATGGGTAGCGGTCACAGGTATCGATCCGCCCTGAAATCTTCCTTCTCTTATTGGCATCTCATACCAATACTTCCTAATGGGCATGGACAATTCCTCTATCTCCCTCGGTACTTCAACTGCACCTTGGCTACCCTTCAACCATTCTAGCTCCAGATCGTTTGGTGTGGCTTAACTTATAGTCATTAATTAAGCATTATCATTTCAAATTTCGCTTACACAAAATTTTCTCATCCTGGCCTTGTCTAAAATCAGTTATTTACGAGATGTTTACCTCTTGGGCAGTTACCCTCTCAAACCCTGCCAGAGTTGTTGCACTCCAAATACCTTAAGTTGCACAAAGAGACATTATATTGTGTTTTCATAATCAGGTCTGCAGACAGCATCATTAATTAACTGTCAGCTTTAAAGATAGCCACATGGCTTCTTTGTGACAATGTCCCTTTTCTTTAGTAACTCCTGGTTTCATAAAATTAGTTTTTCTTTTGGAAGAAATGAGAAATCTTTATTCTTTCTGTTGGTCTGTCTATCATTCTATTCATTAACCCTTCTTGTCTTGTTCTGAGTTATGTTTTTTTGGATTTAACTCCTTTCTTTCTGTTTGCTAGTGCCAAATAGTGTTACAAAATTAATCCCTAAATCTCTTTTAGAAATGTATAATTAGCTCTCAAAACTTTGAGAAACCTATATTTAACACCCAAATCTCTTTTTAAAACCTATAATTAATTCTGAATGTCTTTTAGAAGCCTATAATTAACACCGAAAACTCTTTTAGAAATCTATAATTAGACATAAAATCTATTTTACAAATCTACAAGTAACCCTACACATCTCTTTTAGGAATCTATAATTAGCCCCCCAAATCAATTTTAAAAACCTATAATAAGTCACAGAAACTCTTCTAGAAACCTATAATTACCCATAAATCTGTTATAGAAACTTATAATTATCCCCCAGAGTTAGCTCACAGAGTTGAACTAGAGTCAAGTTCAACAGGGTCTTTCCTTACTGATCGTTCCAAGCCCATTCCCTTGGCTTGTGTAGAAACTTGTAATTAGGCCCAAAATCTCTTTCAGAAATCTGTAATTAAACTCCAAATCTATTTTAGAAAACACTAATTAGCCTCTGAAACTCTTTTACAAACCTATAATAAGCCACAAAATTCTTTTAGAAACCTATCATTAGCCCCCAAAACACTTTTAGAAACCTATAATTAAACACCAAATCTCTTTTAGAGACTTATAATTAACCTACAAATCTCATTTAGAATCCTATAATTAGCCCCCAAATCTATTTTAGAAACCTATAATTAACCCCCAACAAATCTTTTAGTAACCAAATTAGCTGCCAAATCTCTTTTCAAAACCTCTAATTAACCCCCAACAAATCTTTTAGTAACCAAATTAGCTGCCAAATCTCTTTTCAAAACCTCTAATTAACCACAAAATATCTAATTAGCCCCCAAATTTCTTTGAGAAACCTATAATTAGCACCAAAACTCTTTTAGAAACCTATAATTATCTACTCCCGCAAATGTATTTTAAAAATCTATAATTAACCCGCCCCAAATCTCTTTTAGAAGCCTAAAATTAACCCCAAAACACTATTAGAAACCTATATTTAACCCCCAAATCTCTTCTAGAAACCTATAATTATCCCCTAAAACACTTTTAGAAACCAATAATTAACCACCAAATCTTTTAGAAACCTATGATCAACTACAAATCACTTTTAAAAACCTGTAATTAGCATGCAAAACTTTTAGAAACCTATAATTAGCCTCCAAATCTATTTTACAAACCTCTAATTAGCCCTCAAAATTCTTTTAGAAATCCATAATTAACCCCCAAATCTCTTTTAGAAACTTCTAATTAGCCTCCAAGTTTGGAAACCAATTATTAGCACCAAACACTTTTAGAAACGTATAATTCATATAAGATTTTTTAGAGAGTTCTAATACCAGAAGTTTTAAGAAACCAATTATTAATACCAAATTTTATTTTCATTTTTATAATAGTTCCCAGACATTTTAGATAAATAATATGAGATTCTTTTTAGATTCTTTTCAGACTAGATTTTTATTTTTATAATTGTTACTACATTTTACATTTAGAGTTAAGGGGTTAAACCTGATGCAGGAATTTATAAAACAGATTACAAAAAAAATGTCCCTTGAAATACATAAGTGAATCTTCTCAGAATCTAACAGATTAAATTTTAAAGTTTTGGATTGTTTCACAAAATAATGGCATGCAAAATATTTTTTTATTAGAAACAGCAGAATAAAAGATAAAAAAACAAATCAATTCAAATTCATAATTTTTATTGAACAATCAATGAGAAGATGGACTTAAAAATCTACCGAAGAAATTAGAAGAGTTTTGCTTTCAATAATGTCCTTGAGCCATTCTTCTCGGAATCGGCTTTCGTTAGTTCTGAAAGAAATAAATGAAAATTTATTTTAATCTTTTGAAGGCATAAAACATTTCTTGATTTGCTGGAGGAGGGGTTGGGGATGAAATAGGCATCTCTTGTCCTCATCTTTATTGTTTATATTCCAAATATTTCAGTCAATATGACATACATCAGTAAGTCCATTATCTAGTAATAAAAATATTAGCTTTTATTTCATACAAATACATATTTTTCAAAATAATCTGTCTTTGCCAATGCACCTAATCCTACATTTCTCTATAATTTATATAGATTAAACATTATACAGTGAGAATTTCAGATCAAATTTCAACTAAAAACTGTGTCGGGCTACAGACTTATTGATCTGCTTTCCTGTTCACAAGCTTTTTTGCTAAAAACAGTTTTAAAAAGTTTTGCTAGGAGCTTTTGTCGTATTGTTTATACTTCTTGTTTTGCCATGTAAGATAGTGCAGCACCAATATTGTTAACAGGAAATTGCTTGCCTCGATAGCTATTAAAACCAGGATTTTATCGGGGCTTAAAAAGCAAAATTTTGTACAAAAATGTTTACAGTCGGTGTTTAACAAGATAAAGAAAAGATGGAAGATCCCAAGGATATTCAGCTAAATTTTTAATTTGATTGGTTGGCATCTACATGTTAAAATGAAAGACAAAACTGTGTGTTTTTCTATATTAAAGCCGTTAATGTTTGGTTGCTAGGTTGACATCTTCCAGTTGAAATAAAAGAATGAAACCGTGTATTTTTTAATTAAAACCATCAATGTCTGTTAGATTTTAAATTAGCCCATCTCAAGTAGACCTCTGTTATTCTCTCTATTAGCTTGTAAACCGCCACATTGTGCTGCTATTGCTTTTACAGTGATTGGTGATATTATGTACAAGCTTGGTCTTAGGTTTATCATTGATAATTGTGAGATCAGCACACTCTCAATATATTTTGACTTGAAAATGCAAACTTAGCACATGTGAGTGAAATGCATTGTCATTAAAAAAGCTTTTCCATTTTTTCTCATTGCTCCACTTTTGTACGGATACAATTATACATCCTACTAACACTCATAAAATAATATTTAAGTTCATGACATATAGCATTTCTGTAAAACTCTGAATTAGGAGGATAAGTTGAATATTTAATTTTATTTGTTTGAGATATATATATATATATATATATATATATATATATATATATATATATATATTCAAACAGATTTCATTAAATAATATAGACATATTATGTCTTTATTTTTTATAATAATCCTTTCTAGTTCTCTAATCAGTTACTTGATGTTAAGATGAAATTCAACAAGGAAAATGCTGCAGTTTTATCCTACCCTTTCGATCTCCTCTGATTTCATCTTCAGGGGTGAATTACAAAGACAAACTTATTGTAACTATGATTGTAGTGATGCTGATTTTTAAAAACATGTGTGAATGTGCTCTGTTATAATTATTTTAAAATTTAAAATTTATCTGTTGTAGTTATGGATTTTTTTGCAAAACAAGCGTCCAAATGTAAGGGAGCTAACCAGAAATTGGTAGAAATGCAAAATAGCATTAAATGTTGGTTCCATTGCTGCTACACTCATAATAAATTTTGTTGAATATTAGTTGGTTACTTTTGATATAGAGAGCCTCAGGAATTTGAAGCTTTATGCTTAAACACAATCTTCAGTATATTTTATGCTTAAACACAATCTTCAGTATATTTTATGCTTAAACACAATCTTCAGTATATTTTATGCTTAAACGCATTTTATCTTGCAAATGTATATTTTATGCTTAAACAGTATATTTTATGCTTAAAATTTTCAGTATATTTTATGCTTAAACACAATCTTCAGTGTATTTTATGCTTATATGCAATCTTCAGTATATTTTATGCTTAAACACAATCTTCAGTATATTTTATGCTTAAACGCAATCTTCAGTATATTTTATGCTTAAACGCAATCTTCAGTATATTTTATGCTTAATAAGAGAATTATATGCAATACTTCAACAAAAAAAGTATATTTTATGACACAGTGTATATTTTTGAAAACAAAAACAATAAACTTCATTTTACAAACACATAACTTACCTGAAAGATTATATTTTATGTTCACTTAAACTATCTAAATCTTCCAAGGAGTATATTTTATGCCCCTTAAAACCTCTAAAACGATATGGAAATCTTGAGACTAAAGTGAATATTTTAGACAACAAACCTGCTTTAATACAGACAACAGCGCTAACCAATCATGCTCCAAATCCTTCAGTATATTTTATGCTTAAACACAATCTTCAAAGGTGTAAAAAAAAAATTTTCCAAAATAGAACACCAAGCCATCTATATTAAAACAATTCAGTATATTTTATGTGGAGCTATAACCATCTTAAACCACAACATTAAAGAAGCAGAATCACTCAAAATAACAGATTCTATATTTTATGACCCAACTAGCACATTAAACATAATCTTCAGTATATTTTATGAACTACAACATAAAAAATACCAATCTCTTATTTGAGTGTATTTTATGCTATAAATAAACTCCCCAAAATCATTTCAGAAAAACCCTAACACTTTTTCAGGCATCAAATTACACAATCAAACAATGAAGAGAACATTTGAAATTTAAAATCATATGACCCATAATATCCCTGACTTATTGAACAATATCCTAAAACCTTTAATCCAGTTAAAGAGATAGCATAGCAAATTACAAAAATTTATATTTTGATGGATGTTTCTGTCCTTTACACGAATATTATATATATATATATGAGTTATATAAAAAATTAATTATTTATTTAAAAATAAAGTTCATTAAATACAACAACAAACACTATTTACAGATTAGTGGCACAGCAATGGGCACAAAAAAACCTAGTTATGCTAAGGTCTCATTACTTTTATATTGAAAACAAGAAAATTAAAAACTTTTCAACGATAATTAAATTTGGAACTCCATACACATCCATCCCTTTCTTAGACGTTATGATAAAATTAAACAAAAAACCAGTCTATACAACAAACCCATAAAACCAACATAAATCCTGCACTTTAACAGCTGTCATCCCTTTAAATTAAAAAAAATCTATTTTACAGCTCATTTTCTTAGAACCAAAACGCATATAACCATTTAGATTTTTTACAATATTAATTAACAAAACAATTCCTAAAAATGCAAACGTGTTTTAAAACAATAATCGAAATGGTTTTTAACCACAATCAATAAACTTATTCATAATTTAAAAATGATTTTTAGACAACAAGATCAAAGGATAAACCACCCATAAAATGCAAGCTACTTATCAGCTATCCTCACCTCTACCAAATATCTAAACAATAGAAACCAACAGGTTTAAAATGTAACAAAGGCATAGTTTGCAAACATTTAGGGTGTTACATTTTAACCCAACACCAATATCAGGATACAGAGTTAACTTTCATAAGATTTATTCTGCAAATGTCCTAATAGTGGATATATTGGTGAGTCTGGAAACAATTTTAGAGGTGTCTAAATTTGCTAAACACTACAAAATCAGGACACACATTAAAAAACTGCAAATGTTTATTTAGATTCCGATTTTAGTCATTCACACGCAGAAAAAAAAAAGGGATTTTAAAATTAAATTATGTGTCTACGGTGTTTTAAAGATTTATTTAGCTTTTTTTTAGTAAAAAATTTTTTTTTTTATGAAATATTGAACAGTGAATTTGTGCATATAAAAAACTGCAAACAGTAATTTTAATTTATTTTTGTTATTTTTTTGATGACTTCATAAAGAGTTTTCTTTTTTAGCTTCTCATTATGCTATATATATATATATAATTTAAACTATTTATTTTTGGCTATGGATTATAAAAGTTATTATTTAGTGTATGCTTATTTTTAATTGAAATCATTCAAACCATAGTTTAAATTTGATGATGACAGACAGAAAACCGTTAACTAAATTTCGGAAGATGTTTATTGTATAATAGATTATTTTTTTTATTTTATTTAGAAAGGGATTTTAATAAAATGCAGAATTTAAACTATTTATTTTGGCTAATCTCATGGAGGCGACAGAAACAAAGGGCATTGGGTCATCCCAAGTTTTACATGTTCTAGTCCTGTTTATAATTTTCCATTTTACTTTAGGTGTCCTATTTATTTCCTTCAGATGCCAAAAATATTTAGATAGGGAAGTCTGGTTTCTTTTATTTATATTGTTGAAAGAGCACTTATATATATATATATTATAAATTAACTGACTTAAAATATAGTTTGTGCAGCGAAGAAACCATATTTTAAATCAGTTAATTTATAATATTTATGGTCTTACATTGAGCACTGTTTTGTAAAAATAAAAATATCAATAAGAACACTGGATTTTATATCTTACTGTTCTTTTTTTTTTTTATAATATATATATATATATATATATATATATATATATATATATATATATATCATTAATTAAAGAATATTAAACACTTAAAATTCCATCAGTAATATTTTTTATTTCATGAGAGCTCTAAAAAAGTAGCTCTGAATCTTCAAGTCCTACAAACAAGTTTGTATAAGATTTTTCTTTTCTGTACACAAAGTCTGTAAAAATTGTTAGAACGTTCTGTATGTCTGAGCACTTTTGGCTATTCTTTATTGCTCATTTAAGCACTCACATGAACCTCATGAACTCCATCCGCAACATACTTGTAGAAAATACAACTATAATAGCCTTGATTACATGTAAAAACAGACTTAAAATAATGGAAGCATTGATAATAAAAAAGAAAAAGTCAACACTCAATAACATCAACTATAAACTGACCATGCTTGGAAAATAAAAAAAACATTTGCATAACTCTAAATACATACATAAAAATCTACACATTCAGTTAAAAATAAAAATAAAAAACATCTTTGATAATGGCTAAAAGAATAGCTGAAAGCATTCATGTTGCATAGCCCCCTCGGTGGGGATATAGGGCAACAACGTCAATTCACTCGTATGTTGTATCTTGATG